TAAATAAATAAATAAATAAATACAGTATTAAAAGCTAAGAACAATAAACTGTAGCAGTGTTTAAAAAGAGTATTCCATGTCAGAACACTCATCTCCTATATTAAGGCCATTTCCCCCCTAGAAAACAATCTAATAACAATCACTTAAAACAACTGCATCATTCACTGTATATCTGTAACTGGCACAGAAAGAACAGTTTCAAATTATCATTTTTAAAGCTCAAAACCCTTTAAAAATTGTGGGTCGTAGAGAAAGATGTTAGCTTTATTAAGAACAAGACATACAGATGAGTGCTAACAAAATCTAAATGGGGTTTGCTTGTTTGTACTTAATAAGCCTGGATAGATGGGCTGGAGTGAGGTTTACCACATGTATTTTTCTGTGCACGTGTGTAAGGGAGAGAGAGGAAGGGAGAGAAAACTAATCAGAAGGGGCAAATTGGGAATCACTGCTGAAAGCTACATCCAGATGTCCTTTTTCAATATGTAGTAGCCAGAAACAGGAGATAGTGAGATAGTGTATGTCCATTTTGACAGAAGGCTAGAAGGCTTCTTTTTATGTCAGCAGTGGGTCAAGAAATGGACTTCATTGGCTTCAATGTAGAATTGAAAAAGTGGTAACACACAGGAAGCTGACAAACTGAGTAAACTATTGGTCCATCTAGCCTCCTGTAGTCAACTCTGACTGATAACAGATTTTCAGGGTTTCAGGCAGGCTTCTACTCAAGCCCTACCTAGTGAAGTACCTAGTGAACCCATCCAAGCAGTACTCAGTACTTAAAACTCCTGTTCAGTACTACTGACACAGCCTATCTTCAAGTAGTTTTTATGTGGTTTCACAACCTACCATGAATCCGGTGAATGGACGTTATGTGAGGCATGCTGTTGTTTTCGTAGGCTTCTCTGCTCTCAGGAGAAGATTTGGTGAGGGGAAGGCCAGATTGAGAACCCCACCATGTTTCCCTTCCAGACTGTGGTGTGCCAAGGAAGTATCGACCCGCCTCACACCTGCCTGCATCACAGGCTGGACTATGGAAGTGTCTGTCATCAGCCAGCCTGGAATGGTCAAGTGCAAAACCATAACAGAGAGCACCGCGGTCCGCGTACTGTCTATAGGCACAGGAAACATCATGATGCTGGGAGCTGGGTCTTTCGGAGGGGTCCATTAACTGAGGAGATGCGGTGTCAGTGAGTGGGCTTCCACCCCACTGGCTTTCATGGTCAGACTCAGATCTTTCAGTGTGAAATCCAGAATACTGCAGTATAAAAAAGAAAAAGATACTGGGATGGGATGGGATGTAACATGCAATTGGATTTCAACCCACAAATTAGGGGAGCTGGAACTTTTCTGGTGAGGGGATGATAATGCAATACATTCAGAGGGCACCACCCTGCGAATTGATGCACCAAATAAGACATGTCCTGCTTAGTTTGGACCATAGACTGGAAAGTTACTTTTTAAAGTAATGCACAATGAAAAGCGTTACAAAGCCCCACTAAGTCATTCCTTACCATTAATTTTCAGCTTTTTTTAAAAAATAGTAACTGTAATAAACAAATTAATCATTAACTTTTAGTGCTTTGTTATTTTTTAAAAGAACATGGAAAAAATATTCTACAAAAATAATTATAAAAAAATAACAGGATTTATTACACTCCTCTCAAAAATGCTAACATTATTTCCATTGGATATGTTTCTTTGCAATGTAACTCTCTTTTGCAATGTCACTCTCTAATTGTCAAAAAAGTATTTCATTTTAGGTAACTATGTTGCTTGTAATTCATTATTTCCAAGTTTATAAATCTAATCTGTCCTGATTCTGCAGTGATCTGCAAATTTTTAAAAAGTACATAGAAAATATTATTTAAATATATATTTTGAATTATTCATTTACAAAATGTATTTCTAAAGTGTATTTTCTGCCAAAGCATTCATCTCTAAATATGTTGGCTGAAATCCTGTTGCACAACTTGATGCAACGTGACGTGGATGATGCCATCAGTCACAGCCATATTGTGGCCATTTCAAGGCAATAAAAAAAAACTTCTTAGATTCCCCCCACCTCCTGGTTTTGGAGATTCCTAGGCATCTCTTTCATCTTGGGGCTGCCATTGGGAGCCACAGAATGGGAGACAGGATGACCTAAAGCCAGAAAAATGGCATTAATAGTCCTGGTAATGGAACTAAGATTGGTAGCAGTGATTTCCCAGCTTAAAATCATTTCCCCTTCCATTCCATGGCTCCTGATTTCTGACCCAGGATGAAGAGGGTCCCTAGGAATCCTCAAGACCTGTGGGGGGAGGGGCTCTTGGAAGTATTTCATTGCTCCTAAAAGGCCATGGCATGGCTGTGGCTAATGATGTCACCCTTGTTGCATGAAATAAAGTTGTGCAACAGGATTTCAGCCATTTAGTCGTAATTTGTGCATTGTTAGATGCACTTTGGTTTATTAAGACAAGATGTACATTACAGAATATGATGACAGGAGATATCCCAAAGGTAGCTGTGTCCCAGCCTTTACATTAGTCTGGGGAGTCCCAATTCACACCAGAATTCACCAGAAACAATTCACCCAACATCTCTACTTACATACTGCTTCAACAGCTGATAAACCTGTGTTCTAGATATTAAAAGATCATTGTTTCCCAAACATTTCAATACAGACTTAGATGGTTTTGGTTATCATTCCTACCTTCTCAACTGCAAATTGATCATTTTCCAATTTCTATTTGCCATACTATAAGTAACCCCAAGTATTCACAGCTAACACCAACTTACTCACCAAAAAGGTATTTAGGAATCACTGTTATGATATTGAGTTTTTCTTTCACAATGCAATCATAGGCAAGTATCTATTCAAACTTTATCATCGAAAAGCTGGAGGAGGGAACTAGAGGGTCAGCCGTACTAGACTTAATACTTACTAATAGGGAGGAAATAGTTGAGGGAGAGGAAATTGTAGGAACTTTAAGAGAAAGCGACCATGTCATATTCAGGCAAGGGTAACTGTACCAAATCAGACCAATGTTCTAGATTTAAGAGAACTGACTTTAACAAATCAAGAGATGTAATAGGAAGGATTCAGTGGATGGAAATCTTAAAGGCGAAAACAGTTCATGATGCTTGGGAAACCCTGAAAGGCAAGATAATAAAGGCCCAAAACCAAAACAATACCACAGAGAAAGAAAAACAAGAGACGTCTGACAAGACCAGCGTGGATAGACACAGAGCTCCCTGACAAGTTAAGGGACAAAAAGAATAAGCATTAAAAAACTGAAAAAATGGCTCATAACTAGAACAGAATACCAGCAAATAGCTCAAATCTGCAAGGATGGAGTTAGGCTAAGGTTCAGAATGAGCTAAGACTTGCAAAAAATGCCAAAAATAACAAAAAAAGAGAGGTTGTTTCAACACGTAAGGAGCAAGAGGAAAGTCAAGGAAATGGTTGGTCCACTAGTGGGAGAAGATGACAAGAAGGTGACAGGCAAAGGGAGAAAGCGGAACTGCTTAATTCCTTTTTTTAAAAAAATCTGTATTTACGCAAAAGGAAAAATTGGTCAACCCTGTGGGAGACAGGAGAGGGAAGCAGGTCAAAATAGGTAAGGAAGTGATAAAAGAACACCTAGCTGCTTTGAATGGGTTCATGTCTCCTGGACTGGATGGTTTCCATCCCAGGGTACTAAGAGAACTGGCAGATGTGACCTCGGAACCACTGAATGAAATCTTTGAGAGGTCCTGGAACACGGGCAAACTGCCAGAGGACTGGAAAAGATCTGATGGTGGTTCCAATCTTCAAAAGGGGGGGGGGGAGAGTGCATCCAGGAAACTACAGACTAATCAGCTGGACTTCAATACCTGGGAAAATCCTGAAAAAAAATAATCAAGCAACAGATTTGGGAGCACCTAGAAAATAAAAAGATGATTACTAGAAGCCAGCATGGGTTTGTTAAGAACAGGTCATGTTCTGCATAAGATAGAACAAAGTGGGATAGACAGCTCAACTACCAGATGGATTTGCAGCTGGCTGACCACCGCACTCAACGTGTAGTCCTCAATGGAACCACATCTACATGGAGGGAAGTGTGCAGTGGGGTCCCTCAAGGTTCTCTCTTGGGCTCAGTGCTCTTCAACATATTCATAAATACCCTGGATGAGAGATTGAAGGAGCATTCATCAGATTTCCTGATGACACAATGCTGGGGGGAACTGCTAATACTTTGGAAAATAGACTCAACCTTCAGAAGGATCTAGACCAGAGGTGTCCAACCTTTCACCTTCACTGGGCCACATTAGAAGATGAACATTTGGTTTGGGCCAGATTTGATTACTAGAAGCCAGCATGGGTTTGTTAAGAACAGGTCATGCCAAACAAATCTTATTGCCTTCTTTGATAAAGTGACTAAATTAGTGGACCAAGGAAACACAGTGGATATAGTATACTTAGACTTCAATAAGGCATTTGATAAGGTAGACCACAACCTACTTCTGCATAAGATAGAACAAAGTGGGATAGACAGCTCAACTACCAGATGGATTTGCAGCTGGCTGACCACCGCACTCAACGTGTGGTCCTCAATGGAACCACATCTACATGGAGGGAAGTGTGCAGTGGGGTCCCTCAAGGTTCTGTCTTGGGCCCAGTGCTCTTCAACATATTCATAAATACCCTGGATGAGAGATTGAAGGAGCATTCATCAGATTTCCTGATGACACAATGCTGAGGGGAATTGCTAATACTTTGGAGAATAGACTTAAGGATCTAGACAGTATTGAACATTGGCCCTATCCAATAAGATGCAGTTCAGTGGCGGGAAAAGTAAGGTCGTGCACTTAGGCAGGAAAAACCAGATGCACAAGTACAGGATAGGTGGTACCTGGCTTGACAGCAGTACCTGTGAGAGGGATTTAGGTGTACTGGTAGACGGCTGCCTAAGGATGAGTCAGCAGTGTGCTGCAGCTGCCAAGAAAGCCAACACCATCCTAGGCTACATTAACAGGGGAATAGCATCCAGATCACAGGAAGTGATAGTACCACTCTATACCACCCTGGTAAGGCTACACTTGGAGTGCTGTGTCCAGTTCTGGTCACCACAATACAAAGAAGACACTGAGGCCCTGGAAGGGGTGCAGAGAAGAGTAACAAAGATGATAAGGGGATTGGCGGCTAAATCCTATGAAGAATGACTAAAATAATTAGCTTAACGAAGAGAAGACTGAGGGGAGACCTGATAGCAGTCTTCCAATATCTGAAGGGTTGCCACAGGGAAGAGGGCATCGGTTTATTCTCCATTGCACCTGAGGGTAGGACAAGAACCAATGAGTGGAAACTCATCAGAGGGAGATCCAACCTGGAAATAAGGAGGAATTTCCTGATGGTGACAGCCATTAAGCAGTGGAACAGCTTGCCTCCCAAAGTTGTGGGTGCCCCATTGATGGAGGTTTTCAAAAGAAGATTGAACAGCCATCTGTCTGAGATGGTATGGGCAGGAGGTTGGACTAGAAGACCTCCAAGGTCCCTTCCAACCCTAAGATGATTCTATGATTCTGTGATTCTGTGATATGTTAAACCCCTGCCAGCTTTGTTCAATGAAAGAAACTGGGGCTATCTCATACCTTAACCCTATGATGATTCTATGATTCTGTGATATGTTAAACCCCTGCCACCTTTGTTCAATGAAAGAAACTGGAGCTCTCTCATACCTCCAGAGATTATTCCCATTTTTAGACTCTGAATGTTTGTTAGTTAGTTTGTTTAAATCCATCAAATCAGAGCAATATTAATACTTCTAATCAGGCATCTCCAGAAGCCTAATGGATAATGCATATTTTATTACAGCTAGCCATCTTAAGCAACTTTTCTGGCTGAAAATGGGGTTGTAATAAAATGAATGAATGAACAAATCATTATTTTAATTGCTAGGAAATAAGTCAAAACTGTCACACTTACGAACAGCTCATCAGCAATAAATTGGGCAAATCTCATGTGCTACAGCTGTACACAGTACACAACTGCATGGGTGGGAGAAGAACTGAATGTGATGCTTTATTCCACCTATTTGTTCTAATTGCATAAGTACAAAAGATGAGTGACACTGTCCTTTCCTATGCAGAGCCTTGGTCTGTGTACAAGACAGAGGAGTTAACAGAACCCTATTTTTCCCTCCCCCTCCCCAACAGTTCTTGGTGTTTTATACCAAACTGCTGTAGAGAAAAGGTAGCCTCCATGTGGCTGTCATATCTGCTCAGGTCTCTCTC